AGTGACTATGATCTCAAGTTCACTGCTTATAGAGTAGTGGTGGGAGAATGTTGCCACACCCACCACCAGACACTTACCTTTCTCTGTAGCCACAATACTGAAATAAGGATGTTGTCCCATATCTTTCAAACCATATAACTTTTGGGGATGACCTAAATACCTAGGTAACCTTAATTATTGTCACTCTTCCCCACTAGCTGGCATATCAATAAATGAACCCCAGAGGAGTTGATCATGAATCTACACATTCAAAATATACAATGAGTTTTTTCCTTTCAGAGAAAAGTTTCACTGTAGATGATACTACAAAAATAATAAAATGTAATCGAATTTTAGGTTTAAGAGAGAGGAAAATTTCTTTAAATATCTTAAATCAGATCTCTTAAAAGGAGGTGCATAACTTCTGCCTTAACAAATATAACGCCAAGGACTTGCTGCTATTGTTAAATATCTCTGAATAGTAAAAAGGTTAAAACTGATATGCAACCAAACTTTTTGCCATTTCAACATGAATAGGGTAGCAGAACATTATCTCAATCACACAAGAACACTAACAGTTATGTTAGCTTTTTACATGCTATTTTTATATTAGTATCTTAAAATGTTAAACTGGAATGTATTCATGTGGTAAGTAATTCCTTCTTTTAAAGCTATAGAAATCTGTGAAATGGTACAGGAGCCCTGGTAGTTTAGTGGTTAAACAATGGACTGCTAACTGCAAAGTCAGCAGTTCAAAATCAGCACTGAAGAAAAATTAGGTTTCTACTCTCATTAAAAAATTAGAGGAAACACACCAGCTTGTGTGATACAAAGATGACAAAAACAAAATTCAAATATGACAAAAGGAAACGTATTAGAGCCTAAACTGCAAACACACAATTTGTAGAAGGCAATAACGAAGGCCCCAAACCCATCTCCAGATTAAGTCACTGGCAGATTCCCCACCAGCCACAGGTAAGGGTCTTGAACAGTTTTACATTCAGGTAGAGATCACTGTAATCGTGATTACACTGGATGGAACTTGGTACTCCACCAGCTGACCTCCCTTTTGACCCAACCTGAAATACTAGCAAGTATTGCTTGCTAATTCCATGACAAAAATTTTTTCCCCGACCTTTTAAATATTCACTCCAGTCTTTTCTTTCTTACTCACTATTTGCATTTTTATCTTTGTATTATTATTTTATCCTTACTGCTTTATTTCATTTTTGTTTGTTTGTTTCTGTTGGGTTTTCCAGTTTGTGAAGCACAGGTGGAGTAGATGCACAGAGATAAGCACTGTTGCAAGGGTCGATAGAGGAGGTAGGGAGGGGTGGGAGATAAAAGGGTAAGGGTAAAGGGCATAAGCAATGTATGTGGGAGTGGGGAGGGAGCACTGGCACTGATGGTGGTTACATAACCCATTTCAAAAGTGATTTGACCATGGGGGTGGGAAACAAAGTGTTTTACAATTGATTGTCGCAATTATTTTACAACTCTTCTTGATATGATTGAATTATTGAATTGTGTAATATGTGTATTAAGTGCCAATAAAATTGTTTTAAAAAGTTGTAAAAAAAATAGTATTAATTAAAATTTTTTATTTTTACTAAAGGATCTCTTGGCATTTTATATTTTGAATCCTTTTAAAATTTGATTAACAAGAGTAGAGTAAGATTATTAATTCAGGAGGGAGGGGGAAAAATGAGGACCTAATGTCGGGGGTTTAAATGGAGAGAAAATGTTTTGAGAAACGATGTACAAATGCGCTTTACACAATTGATGTGTGTATGGATTGGAATAACAGTTGTATGAGCCCCTAATAAAATGTTAAAAAAAAAAAAGAAAATAAAAAAAATAAAAATAAAGGGCTAATTTAAAGAGCTATAGAAAACTATAGCACCTTAATAAAAAAAAAAGTTAAAAATTAAAAAAAAAAAGATTATTAATTCAATGCAAGTTGGATATCAGTTATTTCAAAATATCTTAATTTTCCGCCACAATATTGTTATTATCATTGGTTTTATATTCTTTATGTCACAAAACATGACCACGTGCAACTGAGCATGGGAGACTTCTTTCAGCTGAGGATGTTAGACACACACAATATCATCATTTTTAACACATGGAATCAGAGAAGATAACAGAAGTTATTAGTTGCTGTGGCCGGAATGTTGGCAAGAAACCCCCACCACAGAGAATATAACTACTGGGGGAGAAAAAAAAAAGACAAGAAAAGGGTGCTTGACTTCCCATGAAATTTCTGCAGCAAACACATCCCGTCAGCTAAAATTGCTCATTAAGGGAGTGCGAGCAGAAGAAATGCATTTCCCAAATTGAATGCTAGATTTACAGTCCGCTTCATCCTGGCGACCTCTCCAGCACTAATGTTCAGTTCGAGTCATCAGCTGTCCCTTTAGGTCTTTTATCACTGCTTTTGTCAAGCTATCTATTTAATTGAAAGAAGTTAATTGAATGAAAATGATCAACTAAGCTTGTATTAATATTGCTAATGGAACTTTCTTCTTGGCCATGTTTGGAGAAAGATGTCAAGCTAGACTTTAGGAAAGGACCATTAAGGCTTGCACTTAACCTGATGGGCTAATTAAGGAATGCTTATTCATTCTACAAGTCCACGATAGTCTCTATCCAGCCCATTCTGCCTGATTTTACAACACATTTCACTTATGAGCATGAGCATTAGTAGCCGTGAAAGTAACTGATAATGTTTTGATTGCACTGAATACAGGACTAATGCATCATTGAATTTATAATTTGTGCAGATTGGTGTAATATTGGTTTGCACAATTTATTCTAATTACCTATCCCTATATTCCTAAGTAAACTTTAAA